GCCTCTCGTTGCCTCTCATATCTCTCTCTATTTATATATATTTAGCCTCTCCCTCTATCTCCCTCTCTCTATCTATATATCTATCTCTCTCTATCTATATTAATATATATCTCTCACTCTCACTCTCTTTCTCACTCTCTCTCTCACTCTCTCTCTATTTCCACTCTCTTGATCTCTCTCTCTCTCTATTTCCTCACTTTCTCTTCCTCTTTCTTTCTATCTCTTTCTCTCTCTCTCCATCTCTCTCTCTCTCTTTCTCCCTCTCTCTCTCTCTATTTCCTCTATCTCTCTTTCTCTTTCTTTCTCTCTCTCTTGAGTTTTGAGAGAGAGAGAGGACGATCACTCTGAGGAAATCGCGGTGGCTTTCGAGAGAAAAATTTTCTCTCAATTTGGATTCTCACCAGAGGGGCTTGATTGTTCGGATCTGGGGTAATGGTGGGTGGTGGCCGTCAGTCACCCCTCGTCACCCGTCATTGCACGGTGAAGGGAGGGGTGGAGGATCTGGGAGATCTTCGGAGGTTAGAGGATCTGGGAGATCTTTGGAGGTTAGAGGATCTGGGAGATCTTCGGAGGTTAGAGGATCTGGGAGATCTTCGGAGGTTAGATCTGGTAGAGGAGTTGGTGGGAAGAATTTTGAAGGAGGGAGTAGATCGAGTGTTGTGGCTGGTAGCATTGGTGGGTCATCTGGTGAAAGGAGGTTCTCATTTGGGGACTCAGGGGGTTTGGCTGTGATAGGAGTTTAGGGGAAAAAACCAGTTTATGCTCGCTCTCCTAGCAAAGCTAGTAGTGCAAAATCTGAACGCAGTGTTGAGCTTAAGAAGGTTGGTCAAGATGCACATTCTCATGTAGAGTTGGAGATTGATTCAAATGTTGAATCTAATGTTGTAGCTCATGAAAAGATTGATCGAGATTCATCGTCAAAAGGTTCATCTGTCTCAGATGAAGCTATAGAGATTTTGGTGGGATCGGAGGCTGAAGAGTTTCTTAGAGAGGTCGCTCAACTGGGTGATCAATCGAAACTTCTGATTGCGGATAGGGCTGTTGATGGGTTTGATGTCATTGCTGATTGTATGGATGGTGTAGTTATGACAGAAGTTATGGATGATGTGAAGAAGGGATCTTCATATCTGGATGAAGTCATGGTGACTATTGGAGGTAATGAGGCGAACATCCAAACTGGGACATTAGAGCTGTCTGGGGAAATTAAGAATGATGCTCAATCAGCTGACCAAGAAGGCTTGAATGTTGAGACAGAACAGGTTGGATTATTGATCTCGGATGAGATGGCTTCTAGAGAACGGGTGAAGGTAAGCAAATTGATTGATAATCCTATTTTTGAACCTCAAGTTATTCAGTTTTCTTTTGGCAAATTGAGCTGTATTTGGGACTTGAGGAAATTCTCAAGTAGTCAGATGACTTAAAATGTGAATATAGATATGGGAGGGAGTATATAGAGATTAAACTTTGGTGCTGTCAATGACTTGAAGAACGTTGATCAGGCGGTGAGGGGTAAACAAAGTGAAACTGAATGCAGCAATGTTCCTGAGTTTCTAAAATGCATGTCAGATGTTCGTTTTAATGCTCCTACAGTGGAGAAGTTGGGCATTTCTGGCTAAACCCATCCAGTCAAGAAGGAAGTTGATGAAGTCAAAATGGCGTCTAATGCATGGAAGAAAGCTACTGCTGTTAAATTGAGTTTGGTGGATGATATTGGTAGCTTCTTACGGGAGAATGGATTAGTGAAACTGGATTTAGATAAAGCTAGAGGAAATATTCAAAAATTGAATAGAGCCTTGGTTGGTAGTTTGCTGGCATGGCGGCTTCCATTTTGGGTTGTCCAAACGGAACTGCAACGTAAATGGGGACATGTGGGATTAACGCAAATTATGCCATTGGGATCAGATTGTTTCCATTTGTGGGTTTATTGATAAGGAAGCATGAAATGATGTTTTAATCGGTGGACCTTGGTACGTTGCGGGACAAATAATTGGGGTTGATCAATGGACCCCTGGATTATCTGCTAAGTCGCTGAGAGGTTTCTCTTCTCCAGTTTGGATTAGGCTCCCAAATCTTCCATTAGAATATTGGGATGAATCAAATTGGCAAGATTGGCATCGGGTATTGGAGAGCCTTTGTTTATGGATGAGCAAACTAAATTATGGAATAGGTGCGCTTTTGCTCGTTTTTGTGTACGAGTAGATTTATCTAAAAGGTTGCCTAAGGATGTTTGGACACAAGGGATTGGTTGTACTTTCTTTCAACCAGTTGAATATGAAGGAATCCCTTTAATTTGTCAACATTGTGGAAAAGTGGGACATAAGGCTGATGTTTGCAAAGAAGCTTGTGAACAGCCCAGGAAGGCAGATTTGAAGAATTGGAATGTGAAGAATCAACCCAATATGGCAAATGCTTAAATTGGAAATGTGGATAGACTTGGTATGAATGGCTCTGTTAGCTCTAATGCTGTAGACAGCTCCCCTTGTGAACATTTTTCGGTTGCGGATAAAGATCATGGTGAATGGACCATTATTACAAGAAAAAGAAGACCAAATAACTCAAGGAATGGAGGTAAATTACAGGGCTCTATTAGCAAGGTAGCTGCACCGAATTTGGCTCCTAAAGCTGTATGGAGGGAAGTAACTAAGGTATAGAGTAAGGGTGATGCTCAGGATATGGAGGAGACTCCTATTGTTAAGTAGGATATTCAATTGGAATTGAGTGTTCATAAGGTTGAACTGAAGGCCATGGACAAGATGCAAGGCATTGAGAAACAAGTTAATAGCATATCAGATTCTGGAGAAGTAAATCATGTTCATGGAAAGTTGGGTGAATTGTTACAGCCGCATATTCTGGAAAGTGAAATGCAAAACAGAGAAGTATTAGTTGACAGATGTATGCCTGCCAAAGTGTCTTCACGACTGGCTTTGGTGAAGAGGAGAAAACATGGGGAATAGATGTCTTCTCCTGCACAGCGTTTAGTTCCAAAAATGCTGAAGTTCTCGGGTAAGAAGTCAAGTGTCCAGAAGACAAAAGATAAGCAATCCAGAGTTGCTAATGATCAACATTCTAAGTTAATGGGTAATTTTGGACCTTTACAAAAGTTGCCTGTTGTCAGGAGAAGGAAGAAGGAGGGTTTGGCCTCATCAGTCATTGAGCAATGTGTGAAGGTGATTGATAATTCAGTGGATGGCAAACTAAGAGATGTGGATTTTGTTGATCAATGGCAAGGTGTGTTTTCTAATTTTTTTTGCAGCGGGGATGCTTCCCCATTGGTGGATAATGCTTAGTGTTTTATGTTGGAATTGTAGAGGTGCCCGTAAGAAGGAGATGGGTAATTACTTATGGCATCTAATTGGGGGGAATGGTATTAGTTTTTTTGGGCTTTTTGGAGACAAAGATGGAGTCTTTTTATAGAAAGGAGATTGATAAATTGGTTCGTAGAGATTGGGAGTTTGCCTTTCAGCCAGCTGTTGGTAATGCAGGAGGTATCTTGATTATGTGGAAAACTAATATTGTGTCTTTCGAGGTTGTTTTTCAGGCCAATCAATGTATTTTTGGGAGGCTTAAAATGGCTAAGGACATTGATTGGGAGGTGGTAG